AAACAACCTTTATTTGATAAAGAAGCCCATAACAAAGTGAAACCCTAATTCATACTAAACACTGCTTCTTGATCTCATGCCTTATTGAATGAATAAATTTTATGCAAATCACCTAGTGAAAATGATGCATATAAAATGCAAAGCCTAAGCCAGATAAAAGTAGAATTAGGAGGGAAAATTTTGGGGTGCAATAGAGAGCATGCTTTTCAATTGTGGATTTATTATTATTATCTAGTGTCTTTTCAAGGCTACTTTCAATCAAATTCACCTTTTCTATTACCTTTCTTTTTTGGGGATTTTTGTCTTTGGATCCCATATGTCGGTCACACTTAAGGTGTGTCTTAGATGTACTTGCTACATCATTTAGATTTGAAATCTCAATTCTAGCTGGAACATTTATTGCTGGTACATATGACTTTGTCACTCTTTTCAAATCAGTAAATGAATCTGGAAATTGATTTGCTAAATCTTGTAAGTGTACTATTTTCTTTACATTTTTCTTCTTTACCATAATTTTCTTTTCAATTTTCCTGATTTGTTCACCATCAGAAATGTCTCCTTCCAACCAGCAAATCAAGTGCCTTTGAAAATGCTTGAACGTCTACGTGTTCCATAGTTTGATCTTCATTTTCTTCTTTGTCGGCGAAAAAATAACATGAGCATCTCTTTTTATTAGTGAAAATCTTGACAATAGAGTGGAAGAAATTTTTAAGAGTGATGTGAGAAGAGGTGTGAAAAATGGTGAAGATGGGTGGTTATATTTATAGAAAATAAAAAACAACAGTCAAGGTGGTGCCTCCTCCTTAAAACGTACATGCATGCATCACACTGCATGGCACTACATAGGAGGGTAAGCCATATAGTGTGGTGCCTCCTCTTTATTTTACATGTATGAGCCACACAGTGGTTTCACCTCTGTGTGACGAATTTTTTTATTTGAAAAGTTGTTACTTTAGTTATTTTTTTGAGAAAATAATTACTTGAAATTAAAAAAAATGGTTATTCAAAAAAAAATTCCGATCAATCTCCATCTATGTAAATAACGGACAAGCACAACACTTTTTCTATTTCCATCCCATTTCTCATATATATATATATATATATATATATATATATATATATATATATATATATATATATATATATATATATATATATATATATATATATATATATATATATATATATATATATATATATATATATATATATATATATATATATATATATATATATATATATATATATATATATATATATATATATATATATATATATATATATATATATATATATATATATATATATATATATATATATAGTAATCCTATTTTGTTCTTGAGTCTAAAATAATCATTACAAATAATTCTTTTAAGTTTTCTAAGAAATTTAAAATCGTGTCAATCGGACGCATATGTAATACAGTGGCAGAACCGACTGTTATACTGGTTTACATTTTGTATTCGCAAATGTATTTCATCCAACAAAGTAAAAGGAAAAAGAACAGAAAAAACCTTTTTCGAGATGTTTCTGAGTACGGGGGGTAGATTATAGAAAGGGAAGGTGTTATCACCCTTTCTATCCATGGTTTTCCATGGGCTCTTAGGTACTCGCTCATTTCGAAATTTCTTGTGTGCGTTTTGAATTTTTTTTTGAAAATGCCTTAGTGCGGAGATCGCTTTGTGATAACTCTTGTATATGTCCTCAAGAGTGTTGACAAAGAAAATGTTTTTGAAAGTGTTTTGAAATGTTTTTGTGTAGGTGCAAAAAGTTGTTTTGAGCAAGCATCTAAGAACTTATCTACTTATACTCGAAAAGTTCGTTCTTTTCCTCCTAACCTTTAGATAGTGCTATCCTACTATTAGTGAGTAGGTAGCCCTACGTCGGATGTTGAGGGACTATCGAAAGGGACATTATGGTCATTGAAGGCGACATGTAAGGATACCTTATCATTTCGAAGGAACTATCATCATATAGGCAACATCGAGGGACAAGATCATTTTTCGTAGGCAACTCGAGGGACATTGAGGGACTATGATCTTTATGATGACTTTAAACTGAGGGTCTTTGCTAAGATATCCCTATGTTCGAGGGACATGACCATTGTTTTCCGAGACAACCAAATGGGGAGTACCCTAGGGGTGCAAGTGTGCAACATTGTATTTTTTCAGTTATATTTATCTTGCAATTAGGGTTTTCTATCGTTCATTTTTATCTTTCCATACAATCCTATTAATCTAAGTATTGCATAAAATATAGTAGCAGAAGGTAAAGGCATAAATGTAAACCTAAGCTATTACAGAGCTTTGAGGCAGTTACATAATAGTGAAGAGTGCGGAAAAGAAATCCTAAAACTATTACATCCCGGAAGCAATTACATGATAATGATAAAAAAAAAGCGGGAAAAATAAAGCTACGCTATTACAGTTGAACACGCCCTGTACACTTTGTCTAGGAAAATAAAAATAAGATGAAAATAGAAAAGAAAATATTTTGGTGATTTTTTATGAAAAATGATTTATGATAATTAATTAAATAAACCTAAAAAACTTAATTAATTTTAAAAAAAGTTAATTAAAATACCTAAATCTTAATTAGTTCGAATTAAAAAAAAATATTTTTGAAAAAAAGGTTAATTAAAAAAGTCTAAAAACCTAATTAATTTTAAATAAAAAGGTTAATTTTGAAAAAAATGTTAATTAAAAAAAACCTAAAAACCTAATTAATTTTAATTAAAAAAATGTTTTAAAAAAAGTTTATGTGTAATGATTAATAAGAAAGAATTAAGTTTGCCAAAAAATAGATAGGAGAAGAAACATCAATGAAAAATAGGATTAGAAAATACAAATAATACAAATGTCAGGGGTGGGTATTGAACCAAAAATTAATTTAAAACCTAAAACTAAATTTAAAAAAACCTAAAATTAATTATTCGAGTTTATTATGAAAAATTAAAGGTTTGTGAAAAATATTAAATTTTATGAAAAAAAGTTTTAAACAGAAAGAATGAAAATAGGTAAAAGGATAAATAAAAAGGAAGAAAACCAAAACCAATAGGGGTGGGTGTTGAACTCACGCCCTTAACCTCCTCAGGATGTCTGCGTTGACATGCATTGGTGGTTCTTATGATTCGGCCTCAGTATTTTGTAATAACCCTTCATGGGACCCTGTCTAAATCTTTACTGGAGAAGTAGTGAGATGTGGGTTTGTAACAAGGATGACTTGTTTGTAGTGAGATGAGATGAGGGTTCGTAACAAGGATTTTAAGGTTTTTAAGGTTCTTGAAAGAATTTGATATTTTGATAGGGTTGTGGCAAAGGTTTTTTTTCTCCTCCTGTTTGTATGAAAAGAATGGGATTATATAATGGAAATTAGAGAAAAAAATGGGCTTTGAATGTGCAATTGGGCCTCCAATAACCACATGCAATAGTGCAAATTTTTATTCACTTGAGTTCGTCACGTTCCAGCTAAATCGCAAGGACTTAAGTGAAATTTTTGAAATTAAAATGTGAAAACAAAATATAGCAGACATCGAGAACTAACTCCTGTCTGAAAATGGGTTAAATTGGATAAACAATAAATTAGTTATAAATTTTTGAAATTTTGCCTCACACAAAGTTATTTTGGGCTCCAGTATCAACTCGGACACGTTCTTCAATAAAAAACTGGTATTGATCGGAGCATAACACGGACTCAAATTTGGAAGAAAAGTTGTAGATATCTAAGTCAGTAACCTTGTGTAATAAGATGGGCCCAATCCGATAAAAATTGACCGAGTTATGAATTTTCGAAGTTTCGACCGAGATGAAATGATATTCAGCATTCAGGATTTTTGCCGCGTCACGTGCACTCTGGGAAAAAAATGAAGGCCTTTTGGATATCGTTCGAACTCGATACCTCTTGTGAAAATGTTGTCAACTTAATTTGTAACATTTTGGCACCGGAACCAGCCAAATACGATGAAAATCGACCAAGTTATGATTTTCTGAACATGACACAAATAAACTTTTGTCACAAATTTTCTGTATAGAAATACTTGATAAATCTTCATTTTTGAAGACCTTCTGATCGAAATTGGCTCCCATCCGTGAGATATGTAAACATAGATGACGTCAAGAAGGAATTTTGGCCACCGGAACGGGTTCAAAACGAGCCACGATCCTCATCTTATGAATTTTTTAGTGCGTAAAAACTGCACTTTCAGCACACTTTTTCACCATATTTCTTCGAGAAAACTCACACATTTGGAGACCTTCTTTAAAGAATTGGCTCTCGAGACGAACCTGAATTTGAGAATATGTTATCAGGGATATTTTAGCGAAATAACACTTGAATATGATGCGCCGGGTTGGACTTGTGACTCTTTGAACCCCGAATCGTTGCGAAACAGCGAACCGATCTTCAGCATGAAAAATACTCTGAGAACATACATTGGCGAAATAAACGTCATTTGTAACCTGACGAAGCTTGCTAAATATACCTTGATCCCATAACCATAGAACCAATGATATGCGTGTATGTAATAATGAAATGTAAGCCAAGAAGGTCAAAATAAATAGAGTAAATTTTGGGGTACAACAATATATATGACCAAAACAAGAGAGATATAACAACACCCACAACAATAGTTTCTTTACCACTCATTTAATGAAATCTACTTTTCTAGCATAGTGAGTTAATTTTCTTGGTAAAATAAATATGACAATAAATAATAATGATATGGTTACACCAATATTTGACATATACACCGTACATTTATACAAAACCATCTATTTTTTTAAATTATATTTATTGGCTTTGAAAAGTGTGCCACTCTTAAAATGAAATTGAACAAATACGGTTTAAAGAATAGTATACAAGTTTACTGTCATAATAACATATCTCGACAATAAATAAAACAATACAAAGAAGAATTTCAACCAATCATGTAACAAACATTTTTTTAGGCCAATATAAAAAAACACTATTATCAGAACTCAGCTTCTACCTGCATTACACTTTCATGCATTACCAATGCTACTAGTACTAGTTTCTCTATACTTGAACCATTTAGAACATATCAAAAAGTACCCAAAATTGAAGACTTCTATTGCAGCAATCAAGAAATAAAAATATTCCAATCTCCCCTTATTAAGATCTTCTGACAACCAATTTCCTGTTGCAGATTCAGAGGTTGTTTTATGAACAACAGAAACCAGAAAAGCACTCAAATAACTTGATCCTGCCATGCCACAAAAGAAAAGTGATCCTGCAATAGTTTTCATATTCTCAGGAAACTGTTCATAGTAAAACTCAGTTAGCCCAACAGCAGTAAAAGCTTCAGATACTCCAGCTAATATTAACTGCGGAACCAACCAATACCCTAACATCGAAGAAATCGCGCCTTTTCTCGGTAGAATCCCAATGGGATTAGACAAAGCTAAGCGTCTTCTTTGTATCTCAACTACAGCAGATACAAGCATACTTATTATAGATAGAAATATTCCAACACCAACTCTTTGAAGGAGTGTGATTCCGGCTTCTTTTCCAGTGAATCGGCGGAAGAACGGAACAAGTATTCTATCATAAATTGCTAACCATATTGTCATGCTCAACATTAAGATCACTATGTATGATGCACCAGGTATGTTGAAATTGCTTCCGACTCGTCTATCCGATTGAAGTGCTTGAAAAACAAGGAATGTCTGTTGTTGAGTGATAGATAGAAAGAACAAAATGCCAGAAAAGAGTATAGGTAATACTCTGACCAAACACTTTAACTCTTCAACTTGTTGTATACTGCAAAGACTCCATGGATCAGCTGGTGAACCATCTGGATTTATTTTGTCACGTGGAGTGATTATTGCAGCTTTGTCCAACACCCTACATTAATCCAATAGTATTAGTATTTAATTCACTAAGAAAATACTACATTGAGTGTCCCTGCACAACTAAACTAAACTACTTAGTTGTGCAGCGACATTCAATGTAGTAGTACAGATTCAAATACCAAGAAAAACATTAAGTTAACAGAAAAGTATAGTTATTAACAGACAAGATTGACGCATTTACCTGAATTGATTTGTGGAAGAAATCTTTAAATTAAGAGAATTGGGTGGCACATAATCAAAGAGTGAAATCAATGGATGCTGAGAAGGTACTTTAAGTCTTCTTTTCTTAACTGCAACCACTAAAACTTGAATAATACTTTTGATGGGACTACCATTTGGTTTAAGTCGAACATACAATTTGGTTCCGACAAAAAACACAACACAAGCTATGAACATCAAAGAAGTAGGAATTCCAAGCCCAATTACCCAACTCACATTTGATTGTATATAGACAATTCCTGTCAAAGACACCATCTGTGCAAAAGTGAGGGTAAAAAAGTACCAATTGAAGAAACTGTTGATACCCTTCTTTCGCGATTCTGTTTTGGGATTGAATTGGTCAACACCGAATGCTAAACTACATGGTCTAACACCTGCTGAACCTATTATCATTATAACAAATGAAGACGTTAGAAAAAACATTTGTCCTGTTGTTGGTCCTTTGCATGTGGCGCTTTCCTTTTCGCATTGTGGTGGATGAAGATTCTTGATTAGTGCTGTAAGTTCTATTCCAAATAATCCCTGTTAATTAAAAGGGTTTATTATAAATTGAAACAACAAGAGCTTGAATCTCAGGAAATCGTGACATCACGAACGACTCAGTAAATTGTGACAACATGAAATAAATAACTACAAGAGCTTAATCTCAGTAAATCGTGACAGCATGAAATAAATACCAAAAAGCAAAAGACTGAGCAGACGGCTAATGTGTTGTAGCGGCCGAAAAATGTGTCGGAGAAGAAAGCACCGAGTAAGGTGGAAAAGTTGGTACTGCCATGGAAGATGTTGATGATGTTTGCAGCTGTGACGTTATCCAGGTTGAATACAGTTGTAAGATAAACCAACAGGTTTGCCAATGTTCCAATGGCTCCCAATTTCTCAAATATTTCATTTCCTGTTCATAAAAAATTTCAAACATAACTAGACTAAGAAAAACACAAAAATTGTAATAAAAAAAATGTACATGTTTTTCTACTCCTTACTTACCTATGATGTAAGGCATGACCTTCCAGCCTCTGTAGTTGATCTTAGGATCATCATCAACTTCATCTTTTCTACTGATGTCAAAGTTTTCTTTCTCAATTGTTTTCATTGTTGTTTCACTTTCTCCCATTATTCACAATTATGTATGAAATCTCAGTTGCTCCCTGGTCACAAAGAGGAAGAAATATATAGACAAAGAAAGACACTCTAAATGCCTTACTAAGTGTTTTAATATTAAAAGACATTATATTAAATAATTATAAATAGAAATTTTATTTTGGAATTATTATTTAATTCTTTAGGATAAACTTCACTCATTACAAGGGAGAAAATATTTTTTTATTGTGAATTATAAGGAATAGTGTGTGAGAAAATATTTAATTCTTGATTATTTTTTGTGTTCTGGATATTTTAAGAAGAAATAGTGTGTGAGTTATGATTTTGATGAAGATATTGTGTGAATGTTATATGTATTTATAGGAAAATATGAAAAAAAATACTATGCATTCACGTCAAAGCCCTTTTCATGCAATTTACACATAGGCGTCATTCAACATGGCTTATCCCTTTTTGCATGCATGCAAAGCTGCAGTGTGGCAGAGATAGTATTGCAGAGTAGCAATGATCAGATGGCTCAAGATAAACACGAAGTCGGGTTTTAACGGTAAGATGTTCAAATGTGATAACTTCGGTTTTAATTTTTGTAATACCAATTTTATCCGCTATAGGATAAACAAGAAGTCAGGTTTGGCATGTTTCAAAGATATACTAGAAACTAAATTGCAATGTGGTCTAATTTACAAAATTCTTTACAAGTCTCCATTTATATTTAACAATAACCAAGTCAAATTTTTCAACCAAAGGTGGACGATGATGATGATGTTCAAAACATGTTTTGAACTCATGAACAATCTGGGTTCCATGAAATTGAGTTGTATGTTTTATTACAACAACCTGATTCATTTCAGATGGTAGATCCTTCTCAAGTATTTGAAGAAGATGACAAATTTGACGAGGTCAACCACCTCGAAGTCGATATTATTGAACAAGAAGAAGAAGATGATGAGGCCATAGTTGATTTTATGGTCAATGATGATGATGTAGATCAAGAGCAAGAACCTTTACCTACGAGTACTATGCATATTCCTCCGTTTCACTTGACGAACTTGAATTTAGGGAAAGACAAACCAGCCTCATATATCTTTTACAATCCTTATATGCAAACCGAATGAGCCTTAAAAGTTGGAGACAAATTTCGTACAAAAGAAGAGTGTGTTAGAGCTATCAAAAAGTATCACATGGAATTTTTGACTGACTTCTCTGTAGATCGCACTAATTCAGGGAGGTACATTATTTTATGTCGTCAAAAAACAATTTTCCCATTTCAGTTAACTGAAGCTTACAAGAAGAGAAGTGATTCATGGATAATATGTACCATTGATCCACTCCACACACGCATCACCACCGTTCCAACGCAGGATCATCAGAAACTTAGTTCTCAATTAATATGTCAAGAAATGTTGCCTCTCATTAACAAGGATCCATCATTAAAGGTGAGTACTATTATTTATCACATCATTTCAAGATTCAGTTATACCCCCTCTTACAGGAAGGCATGGATTGCAAGGAATAAGTTAGTTAAACTTATCTATTGTAATTGGGAGGAATCATACAAAGAACTTAGAAGTATTTTTGTGGCACTCAAATATTATGCTCCGGGAACTGTTATAATTTTGGAGACACTCCCGACATTTACCCCAGATAAAACTCGTGTTAGTGGAAATGCAACATTTCATCGACTGTTCTGGGCGTATAAACCATGCATCAAATGTTTTTCATTTTGAAAACCTATTATACAGATTGATGGAACTTGGTTGTAAGGAAAGTATAAAGGAATTACTCATGACAGTGGCACAAGATGGCAACAATAATGTTTTTTTTATTGCCTTCCCTCTAGTTGAAGGTGAGACAAGTGATGCATGGAATTTCTTTCTAAAGAATATTTGACTGCATGTTGCTCCTCAACCTAACCTTTGTTTGATTTCAGACAGACATCCATCAATTGTGAGTGCATACAATAACCCTGATAACGGTTGGCATGACCCCCCCCCCCCCCCCCCCTCTTCAACGTATGTCCATTACATTAGATATATCACACAAAACATCATGCGCGATATCAAAGATAAGACACTTCAAAAGAAAGTTGTTAATGCAGGGTATGCCTTAACAGAACCATCATTCCAACACTATCGCAAAGAAATCCGGTTGACAAAGTCAAAATTTCTAAGGTGGACCAATAACATTCTAGTGAAGAAGTGGACTCGGGCATTTGACAATGGTCAATGATGGGGCCACATGACAATAAATTTGGTGGAATTAATGAACTTTATCTTTAAAGGCATTCGAAACCTACCAATTACTGCATTGGTTAGAGAAACATATTTTAAATTGGGGTCATTATTAGATACAAGAAGTTCAAAATGGAGGTAATTGTTACAATTAGGGCTATTGTTCAGTGAATTTACAATGAAATCATTTAATGAGGAGACTTCCATAGCTAACACTCATGGTGTCACCGTGTTTGACAATATTAAAGGTTGGTTTAGTGTACAAGAGACAATGGATCATAATTAGGGGAGGCCAAGGGGATATTATCCGGTCGAACTAGATAGAAGTTGGTGAGATTGTAGAAAGTTTCAAGCATTTCACACGCCTTTGATCGAAAAAATAGCAAGTGTACTATTTTGCCTCTTGTAATAATGGGGAAATTCCCCGAATATTGATCTCAAGGACTGCGTGCAAGTATCGAGTTCAATTTGTGGTTCAATTAAACATAAATTTAAATTGGGGTTTTGTTTGGTTATTGTCACTATAAAATAAGCAGAAATATAAATTGGTTTTTTCTCAGATATGAGGAGTATGCTAGGGTGAGTGTGTGATTTGCCTTGTGACAACCTTGAATCCTGATTTCTTCAACAAGTTTATGATATTAAATTATAGATATTTTGGTTGTTTTCCCCTAGTCCTTAGTGGGAAAACCTTTGAACATTCATCCTAAACCCTAAGTCCTTAGAGAATTATGATGAAATCAAGCCTTCGTTTTATCAAGAGTTAACCTGTAACTATAGGGTATCCATAGTCCTAGATGATGTCTACTATAGTTTAATTGTACAAAAACCCTTAACAACTGCGGTTCAGCAAATCGTTAACCATAAATTAATCCTTGTTTGTCCGAAAAAGAAAGCATAAAAAACCTTGTATAATTAAATTGAATAAGAAAACAAATAGATTGATGAAATTAGGGATTCATTGTCTTTACAAAAATCAAATCAGGGAACCCCCTTAGCATTGGAGAGTTTAGCTACTCATATGTTTCAAGTAATTTCAGAATAAAAATTAGACATTACAGATTACTAGTGAACTTTGATCTTCAATTGCATCCGCTCATGAAAGGTCTCCATTCTCTAACAATTGCATATGTTTCCTTCTTCAATTGTAGAAATTCGTCACTGGAAAAAAGTCCCCTAATATGTCGTGAAAACTCATCTAAATAGTCATCATTCACTCAGATCGGTTAGAAGTACCCATAACATCCCCACAACTTAACATATGGAAAAAATAGGAAAATGTCAGGAAATCAGTGTCACAGGCTAACACGGCCCGTGTCAGGAAACACGGCCATCTGTGTTGGCCCAAAACTTCCAATTCTTCTTTTAAGGTCACGGGAGTTTCAACACGGCCCATGTTAGGTGACGCAATCACCCGTGTTGCACCCCTCACTTCCATTCTTCTTCATCTAGTCTTGGGAATTCCTTCTGACACGGCCCATGTCAGGTGACACGACCACCCGTGTCAGACCTCCTATAACTTGAATATTTCTTATTCTCTGAAACTCTGAGTTTTGTATGTTTTCACCCTAATTTGTTCTGTTTTATTCCTTAGAGCCTGAAAATACTAAAAAACATAACTAACGTATAAAATATGGTAAAATGAAACAAAACACTCGACAATAAAGAGAAAAGATAACTGAACTAAATGGTAATTAAATGTGTAAAAACCACTGATTAGCCTTGCTCTAATATCATAGCGGCATGTTTGCATGTTCTCGTGGACCCTAGAGGACATATAACCCTTGTTTACACAGTCAAGAGTGTATTAAGTGTGTACATCAATACCTTCTCCATGTTGTCAAAGGAGGATTATTGGTCTTCTTATCAAGGGGACATTATTTGGCACAATGAACAAATGCGAAGGAAGAAAAAAGGTCTCCCAAACAACACATGTATTAGAACTGAAATGGATACAACAAACAAAATGATAAGGTTGTGCATTACATGTCGTCTTCCCGGACATAATCAAAAAAATTATGCGAATATTGGATCTAGCTCAGCAACAAAATTTCTATATGCCAAACTTTCAGGAGTAATTTATTTTTTGTACAAAAGATATTTCAATATAAATTTGACTTTGCATTTCGTGTTCAAGTTAACATTCGATTAAAATAACCTTCAGAGAATGACCCAAAAATTACAACACGACAAATTCAAGACAACCACACAAAATACAACAACATGACAAGCACACAAAATAACTAAACATATCATAATAACTAGGATACTACAACCATCAACTCAATATTGAATGGCCCAAGCATCATCGTAAGGACACCATCATCGTTTTTCACGGTTTTCCTTGAACGAGTTACTCCATTTTTGTTACTTACCATAATTTGTTTTCAATTTTCCTGATCTGTTCACCATCAGAAATGTCTCCTTCCAACCAGCAAATCAAGTGCCTTTGAAAATGCTCAAACGTCTACGTGTTTCATAGTTTGATCTTCATCTGAGGCTTTATCGGTGAAAAAATAACATGAGCATCTCTTTTTATTAGTGAAAATCTTGACAATGAAGTAGAAGACATTTTTAAGAGTGATTTGAGAAGAGGTGTGAAAAATGATGAAGATGGATGGTTATATTTATAGAAAATCAAAAACAACAATCAAGGTGGTGCCTCCTCCTTAAAAGGTACTTGCATGCGCCACACTGCATGGCACTACATAGGAGGATAAGCCATATAGTATGGTGCCTCCTCTTTATTTTACATGTATGAGCCACACAGTGGTTTCACCTCTGTGTGACGAATTTTTTCATTTGAAAAGTTGTTAGTTTAATTATTTTTATGAGAAAATAATTACTTGAAATTTAAAAAAAAAAATGGTTATTCAAATTTTTTTCCAATAAATCTCCACCTATGCAAATAATTGACAAGCACAACACTTTATCTATTTTCATCCCATTTCTTATATATATATATATATATATATATATATATATATATATATATATATATATATATATATATATATATATATATATATATATATATATATATATATATATATATATATATATATATATATATATATATATATTAATCCTATTTTGTTCTTGAGTCTAAAATAATCATTACAGATAATTCTTTTAACTTTTCTAAGAAATTTAAAATCGTGTCAAAATGACACATATATGACCAAAACAAGAGAGATGTAACAACACCCGCAACAATCATTTCTTTACCACTCATTTAATGAAATCTACTTTCCTAGCATAGTGAGGTAATTTTCTTGGTAAAATAAATATGACAATAAAAAATAATGATATGGTTACACCAATATTTGACATATACACAATACATTTATACAAAACCATCTATTTTTTTATTTTTTTTTTAAATTATATTTATTGGCTTTGGAAAGTGTGCCACTCTTAAAGTGAAAGTAAACAAATAAGGTGTAAAGAATAGTATACAAGTTTAGTGTCATAATAACATATCTCGACAATAAATAAGGCAATACAAAGAAGAATTTCAACCAATCATATAACAAATATTTTTTAGGCCAATATAAAAAAACACTATTATCAGAACTCAACTTCTACCTGCATTACACTTTCATGCATTACCAATGCTACTAGTACTAGTTTCTCTATACTTGAACCATTTGGAACATATCAAAAAGTACCCAAACTTGAAGACTTCTATTGCAGCAATCAAGAAATAAAAATATTCCAATCTCCCCTTATTAAGATCTTTTGACAACCAATTTCCTGTTGCAGATTTGGAGGTTGTTTTATGAACAACAGAAACCAGAAAAGCACTCAAATAACTTGATCCTGCCATGCCACAAAAGAAAAGTGATGCTACAATAGTTTTCATATTCTCAAGAAACTGTTTATAGTAAAACTCAGTTAGCCCAACAACAGTAAAAGCTTCAGATACTCTAGCTAATATTAACTGCGGAACCAACCAATATCCTAACATCGCCGAAATCGCGCCTTTTCTCGGTAGAATCCCAATTGGATTAGACAAAGCTAAGCGTCTTATTTGTATCTCAACTACAGCAGATACAAGCATATTTATTATAGATAGAAATATTCCAACACCAACTCTTTCAAGGAGTGTGATTCCAGCTTCTTTTCCGGTGAATCCGCAGAGGAACAGAACAAGTAGTCTATCATAAATTGTTAACCATATTATCATGCTCAACATTAAGATCACTATGTATGATGCACTAGGTATGTTGAAATTTCTTTCAACTCATCTATCCGGTTGAAGTGCTTGAAAAACAAGGAATGTCTATTGTTGAGTGATGGATAGAAAGAACAAAATGCCAAAAAAGAGTATAGGTAATACTCTGACCAAACACTTTAACTCTTCAACTTGTTGTATGCTGCAAAGACTCCATGGATCAGCTGGTGAACCATCTGGATTTATTTTTTCATGTGGAGTGATCATTGCAGCTTTGTCCAACACCCTACATTAATCCAATAGTTTTAGTATTTAATTCACTAAGAAAATACTGCATTGAGTGTCCCTGCACAACTAAACTAAACTATTTAGCTGTGCAGCGACATTCAATGTAGTAGTACAGATTCAAGTACCAAGAAAAACATGAAGTTAATAGAAAAGTATAGTTATTAACAGACAAGATTGACGCGTTTACCTGAATTGATTTGTGGAAGAAAGCTTTAAATTAAGAGAATTTGGTGGCACATAATCAAAGAGTGAAATCATTGGATGCTGAGAAGGTACTTTAAGTCTTCTTTTCTTAACTGCGACCACTAAAACTTGAATAATACTTTTTATGGGACTACCATTTGGTTTAAGTCGAACATACAATTTGGTTCCGACGAAAAACACAACACAAGCTACAAACATCAAAGCAGCAGGAATTCCAAGCCCAATTGCCTAACTCACATTTGATTTTATATAGACAATTCCTGTCAAAGACACCATATGTGCAAAAGTGAGGGTAAAAAAGTACCAATTGAAGAAACTGTTGATATTTTCTTTCGCGATTTTGTTTTGGGATTGAATTGATCAACACCGAATGCTAAACTACATGGTATAACCCCTGTTGAACCTATTATCATTATAACAAGTGCAGACGTTAGAAAAAACATTTGTCCTATTGTTGGTCCTTTGCATGTGGCGCTTTCCTTTTCGCATTGTGGTGTATGAAGATTCTTGATTAGTGCTGTAAGTTCTATTCCAAACAATCCATGTTAATTAAAAAGGTTTATTATCAATTGAAACAACAAGAGCTTGAATCTCATTAAATCGTGACATCACGAACGACTCAGTAAATCGTGCCAACATGAAATAAATAACTACAAGATCTTAATCTTAGTAAATTGTGACAACATGAAATAAATACTAAAAAGCAAAAGACTAAGCATACGGCTAATGTGTTGTAGCGGCCGAAAAATGTGTCAGAGAAGAAAGCACCGAGTAAGGTGGAAATGTTGGTACTGCCACGGAAGATGTTGATGATGTTTGCAGCTGTGACATTATCCAGGTTGAATACAATTGTAAGATAAACCAACATGCTTGCCAATGTTCCAATGGCTCCCAATTTCTAAAATATTTCATTTCCTATTCATAAAAAATTTCAAACATAACTAGACTAAAAAAAACACATAAATTGTAATAGAAAAATGTACATGTTTTTCTACTCCTTACTTACCTATGATGTAAGGCATGACCTTCCAGCCTCTGTAGTTGATCTTAGGATCATCATCAACTTCATCTTTTCCACTAATCTCAAAGGTTTCTTTCTCAATTATTTTCATTGTTGTTTCACTTTCTCCCATTATTCACAGTTATGTATGAAATCTCAATTGCTCCCTGGTCACATAGAGGAAGAAATATATAGATAAAGAAAGACACTGTAAATGCCTTACTAAGGCATTTAATATTAAAAGACATCATATTAAAGAATTATAAATAGAAAAATTATTTTGGAATTATTATTTAATTCTTCAGGATAAACTTCACTCATTACAAGGGAGAAAATATTTTTTTAAGGGAGAAAGTATTTTTTTTATTATGAATTATAAGGAATAATGTGTGAGAAAATATTTAATTCTTGATTATTTTTTGTGTTCTTGATATTTCAAGAAGAAATAGTGTGTGAGTTATGATTTTGATAAAGATATAGTGTGAATGTTATATGTATTTATAGGAAAATATGTAGAAATACTATGCATTCACGTGAGATTCCTTTTCATGCAATTTACACATAGGCATCATTCAACATGGCTTATCCCTTTTTGAATGCATGCAAAGCTGCAGTGTGGCAGAAATAACATTGCAGAGTAGCAGTGATCAGATGGCTCAAGATAAACACGAAGTCAGGTTTTAAGGGTAAGATGTTCAAATGTGATAACTTCAGTTTTAATCTTTGTAATACTGATTTTATCCGATATATGATAAACAAGAAGTCAGGTTTGGCATGTTTCAAAGATAGACTAGAAACTAAATTTCAGTGTGATCCAGTTTACAAAATTATTTACAAGTCTCCATTTATATTTGACAATAACCAAGTAAATTTTTTTAACCAAAGGTGCACGATGATGATGTTCAAAACATGTTTTGAACTCATGAACAATCTGGGTTCCATGAAATTGAGTTGTATGTTTTATTACATTAACCTAATTCATTTCAGATGGTAGATCCTTCTCAAGTATTTGAAGAAGATGACGAATTTGACGAGGACAACCACCTTGAAGTCGATGTTATTGAACAAGAAGAAGAAGATGATGAGGCCATAGTTGATTTTATGGTCAATGATGATGCTACAGATCAAGAGCAAGAACCTTTACCTACGAGTCATGTGTACATTCCTCCATTTCACTTGACGAACTTGAATTTAGGGAAAGACGAACCAGCTTCAGATATCTTTCACAATCCTTATATGCAGGCCGAATGAGCCTTAAAAGTTGGAGACGAATTTCGTACAAAAGAAGAGTGTGTTAGAGCTATCAAAAAGTATCACATGGAAATTTTGACTGACTTCATTGTATATCAAACTAATTCAGGGAGGTACATTATTTTATGTCGTTAAAAACCAATTTTCCCGTTTCAGTTAACTGCAGCTTACAAGAAGAGAAGTAATTCCAGGATAATATGTACCATTGATCCACTCCACACACGCATCACCACCGTTCCGACGCAGGATCATCAGAAACTTAGTTCTCAATCAATATGTCAAGAAATGTTGCCTCTCATTAACAAGGATCCATCATTAAAGGTGAGTACTATTATTTCTCACATCGTTTCAAGATTCAGTTATACTCCCTCTTACAGGAAGACATGGATTGCAAGGAATAAGGTAGTTGAACTTATCTATTGTAATTGGGAGGAATCATACAAAAATCTTAGAAGGATTTTGGTGGCACTCAAATATTATACTCCGGGAACTGTTATAATTTTGGAGACACTCCTGGCATTTACCCCAGATAAAACTCGTGTTAGTGGAAATGCAATATTTCATCGAGTGTTATGGGCGTATGAACCATGCATAAAAGGTTTTTCATTTTGAAAACCTATTATACAGATTGATGGAACTTGGTTGTACGGAAAGTATAAAGGAATTACCCATAGCAGTGGCACAAGATGGCAACAATAATGTTTTTCTGATTGCCTTCCCTCTAGTTGAATGTGAGACAAGTGGTGCATGGAATTTCTTTCTAAAGAATATTTGACTGCATGTTGCTCCTCAACCCAACCTTTATTTGATTTCAGACATACATCTATCAATTGTGAGTGCATACAATAACCCTGATAACGGTTGGCAGAAACCCCCTTCAATGCATGTCTATTGCATTAGACATATCACACAAAACTCCATGCACGATATCAAAGTAAGACACTTCAAAAGAAAGTTGTTAATGCAGGGTATGCCTTAACAGAACCATCATTCCAACACTATCGCGAAGAAATCCGGTTGACAAACTCAAAAGTGCTAAGGTGGATCGATAACATTCCAGTGAAGAAGTGGACTCGAGCATTTGACAATGGTCAAAGATTGGGCCACATGACAATAAATTTGGTAAAATCAATGAACTTTATCTTTAAAGGCATTCGAAACCTACCAATTACTGCATTGGTTAGATGAAATATTTTAGATTGGGGTCATTATTCGATACAATAAGTTCAAAATGGAGGGGATTGTTACAATTAGGGCTATTGTTCAGTGAATTTACAATGAAATCATTTAATAAGGAGACTGCCATCGCTAACACTCATGTTGTCACCGTGTTTGACAATATTAAAGGTTGGTTTAGTGTACAGGAGACAATGGATCATAATTAGGGGAGGCCAATGGGATATTATCTGGTTGAATTAGATAGAAGTTGGTGCGATTGTATAATGTTTCAAGCATTTCACCCGCCTTAGATCGAAAAAATAGCAAGTGTACTATTTTGCCTCTTGTAATAATGGGGAAATTTCCCGAATGCTGATCTCAAGGACTGCGTGCAAGTATCGAGTTCAATTTGTGGTTCAATTAAACATAAATTTATATTATGGTTTTGTTTGGTTATTGTCACTGTAAAATAAGCAGAAATATAAATTGGTTTTTTCTCAGATATGAGGAGTATGCTAGGGTGAATGTGGGATTTGCCTTGTAACAACCTTGAATCCTGATTTCTTCAACAAGTTCATGATATTCAATTATAGATCTTTAGGTTGTTTTCCCCTGGTCCTTAGTTGGAAAACCTTTGAACATTCATCTTAAACCCTAAGTCCTTAGAGAATTATGATGAAATCATGCCATTGTTTTATCAAGAGTTAACCTATAACTATAGGGTATCCCTAGTCCTAGATGACATCTACTATAGTCTAATTGTACAAAAACCCTCAACAACTCTGGTCCAGCAAATCGTTAACCATAAATTAATCCCTGTTTGTCTGACAAAGAAAGCATAAAAAAATGTACAATTAAATTGAATAATAAAACAAATAGATTGATGAAATTAGGGATTCATTTTCTTTACAAAAATCAAATCAGGGAACCCCTTAACATTAGAGAGTTTAGCTACTCATATTTTTCAAAGTAATTTCAGAATAAAAATTAGACATTACAGATTACTAGTGAACTTTGATCTTCAATTGCACCCGCTCATGAAAGGTCTCCGTTCTCTAACAATTGCATATGTTTCCTTCTTCAATCGTAGAAATTCGTCACTGGAAAAAAGTCCCCTAATATGTCATGAAAACTCATCTAAATAGTCATCATTCATTCAGATCGGTTAGAAGTACCCATAACGCCCCACAACTTAACATATGGACAAAATAGAAAAATGTCAGAAAATCAACGTCACATGCTAACACGGCCCGTGTCAGGAAACACGGTCATCCGTGTTGGCCCCCAAACTTCCAATTCTTCTTTTAAGGTCCTAGGAGTTTCAACACGGCCCGTGTTAGGTGACGCGACCGCACTTGTTGCACCCCTGACTTTCATTCTTCTTCAACTCGTCTTGGGAATTCCTTATGACACGGCCCGTGTCAGGTGACACGACCACCCGTGTCAGGCCTCCTGTAACTTAAATATATAATATTCTCTGAAACTCCGAATTTTGTACTTTTTCGCCCTGATTTGTCCTGTTTTATTCCTTAGAGCCTGAAAACACTAAAAAAACACAACTAACGCATAAAATATGGTAAAATGAAACAAAACACTCGACAATCAAGAGAAAATATAACTGAACTAAATGGTAAATAACTGTGTAAAAACCACTGATTAGCCTTGCTCTAATATCATAGCGGCATGTTTGCATGTTCTCTTGGACCCTATAGGTCATATAACCCTTGTTTACACATTCTAAAGTGTATTAAGTGTGTACATCAATATCTTCTCTGTGTTGCCAAAGGAGGATTATTGGTCTGCTTATCAAGGGGACATTGTTTGGCACAATGAACAAATGCGAAGGAAGAAAAAGGATCGCCCAAACAACACATGTATTAGAACTGAAATAGATACAACAAACAAAATGATAAGATTATGCAGTACATGTCGTCTTCCCCGACATAATCAAAAAAATTATGCGAATATTGGATCTAGCTCAGCAATATAATTTTTATATGCCAAACTTTCTGGAGTAATTTATTTGTTGTAAGAAAGATATTTCAATATAAATTTGACTTTTCATTCCGTGTTCAAGTTAACATTCGATGAAAACAACCTTCAGAGGATGACCTAAAAACTACAACACGACAAACTCAAGACAATCACATAAAATACAACAACATGACAAGCACACAAAATAACTAAACACATCATAATAACTAGGATACTACAACCATCAACACAATATTGACTGGTCCAAGCATCATTGTTTTTCACGGTTTTCCATGAACGAGTTACTCCATTTTTGTTCCTTACCATAATTTGCTTTTCAATTTTCCTGATCTGTTCACCATGAGGAATGTCTCCTTTCAACCTGCAAATCAAGTGCCTTGGAAAATGCTCGAACGTCTACGTGTTCCATAGTTTGATCTTCATCTGAGACTTTGTCGGCGAAAAAATAACATGAGCATCTCTTT